AGATGTCCTAGTTACTTTCTATTGCTGTGCTTAAAAATGAATAAAACCCACTTGAGAGGGGAAAGGTTTATTTTATCTTGCATCTCCCAGGTCACAGTTCATCACTGAGTGAAGTCAGGGCAGGAATTCAAGGCAGTAACCTGGAGGCCGGAGCTGCACAGGCCATGAAGGAATGCTGCTTACTGTCATACTCCCCTGGCTTGTGCTCAGCCTGCTTTCTTATACAATACAGGGCTACGTACCTAGTGGTGGCACCACCCACAGTGGACTGTGCCCTCCCACATCAACCAGCAATTAAGAAAAAGACTCACAAGACATGCCCACAGGCCATTTGGGTAGAGGTAACTCCCAAATTGAGGGCCCCTCTTCCCAGGTGTGTCAAACTGACAACCAAATGTATCCAGCACACCTGACAACTTAAAGCTGGTGGTTTTCAGTGCATTCATTTCAGATATGAAATGAATTATTCATATCCATTATTCAAATGAATATTCATTTCAGGTATTAAAACTTTGTAATTTTCTGAGTGAACTGTGTATGTCATAGTGCCAAAAGAACCCCCAAACTTCAGTGATTTGCTATATAATAAGTTGGTGCTTTTTGTAAAATTTAATTTATTATTTAATGTATACCGGTGTTTTGCCTTTGTGTAAGTGCACCACATTCATGCAATGCCCAAGGAGGCCAGCAGAGGGTGTTATCCCCTGGAACAAAATTAAGAAAGGTTATTTAGCTGCCATGTGGATGCTGGGAACTGAACCTGGGTCCTCTGCAAGAGCAGTCAGTGTTTTTAACCACTGATCCACCTCTTTAGCCCCCAAAGTGTTTATTTCTTAATGACTGTCTTGTTTATATTTCATGTCCAATTTCACAGTGTGATTCAGGAATCTGCCCTGATGGAATTCCAACACATGTAGCTGTGCCATTTAGAGCATGTCCTGTGTTGGTTGCTGAGGCTGGAGCAGAGGCATCTAGATTGTGAAACACTGATTGTTCGAAACAGAGGCTGTTCTTCACACGTGTGTACAAAACATATGTGCCATTTCTACTCAGTGACTGCAAGAACTAATTGCATAATTTAGTGTATGATTCATAGGAACTAAATATGTAAAATCACTTGGAAGAACTGTGAAGTTGCAACATCTCAAAGTTGATTAATAATTTAAAAACACAGAGTCCTGAGTTCTCACCCTGTAACCCGGTAATCAATGTGTCTGGGTATAGCTGGAGAATGTCCCTATTTTTTATATCCCACAGCAGATTCTCATTATCAACAGCAAGTAGTATGAACTAGTGTGTTCTTAATGCAGACAAAAGGCAACAGTTCACCTGCAGATTTAAGATTACTTGGGTCTTCAGTGTTGGCACTGAATTAAAGAGGAGGGGAACTAAAAGCTGGAAAGTTCACTTGATGTAGTTTTTAATGAAGAAACATAAACACATGTGTCCATAGATAATGACATATGTTGGCAGGACTAGCCCAATCTAGTGTCCTAACCATATTTTAATTTCTCAGTGTACTTTAAGAATTTCATCTCCACCCCTTCCTTCCTGATTCCTAGGAAACTAGGCCAAAAAGTACAAAGTGACAGCCAACCAGTCCTTTTCAGCTCATTCAGTAAATGTGTATAATGGTTCTGACACCTATGAGTCCCCAGGCAAAGGGTGGGGTGGGTAGGTGTACCGTGCCTCTCTTTTGTGAGGTGACTGGAGAGCCTCAGATTTACCTTTAAGCTTGCCAGGGCAGCACAACTCCAATTTTGAATGTGCTTGTATTGCTTTTGTCTGCTGTTTTCTGGAGAGATTGAGAATTAAGAATAAATGTAGAATAACAGAAAGTGACCAGTGCCTGATTGATTCTGAAGTCAGAGCTCTCTAGCGACTTCTGGACCACTGAAGGACTGCCTGTCCAGGTTTGGGTTTCCCTTCTCATATGCTGATTTCTTTTTAGTGGATTCACCAGACATGCTTAATGTCTTTCTCAAGTAGTGTTTGGGTTGGAGTCGGCTCATGCGCCATACATCTTGGGGAAGGGAATAATTCTCTTTTCCAGTGGTATGTTCCTTCAGTCAGCTGTCAGTCTGCTGCTTGTGTTCTGAAAGAAGTGACACCTTGATAAAATGTTGATCTTGCTCTCCAGCACTCACTCCGAGAGATGGAGGCCTTGCAGGCAGGTTCACATGTTATTTTTACACCTTACTCTGTCTAATACAGAGACAGTTTCATGTTCAGACCCCACCTATCTCCATGCCTACCCCTCCCAAGAAAGAAAAAAACAAATTGCTTAATTCCTCCAGGGCGAAGCTTTAAAATATCTAAGTGTCTAAAATTAACATTAAAATAAAGTAATATATTACAAATGCTTCCCTTAGCTTTTTAGATCAAAAGTAGTATCGATACTCTGTTAAATAAATTGCAGTAAGTCAGAGCAACATGTGAAGACCTATAACAAAGAGGAAAAAAATGGAGTGAGGGTAGAAAGGAAGGTTCTGGAGGTAAGGCTACAGAGAGTGGGGTCTCCTGTGGCTATGAAAGGAGTCCACTGGCAGACAACACCAAGGAACAGGCAGAAAAAGAAATTTGTGCTACAAAGAGAGAATGTTTGCCTTCACAATGCAGCATGCCTTCTGCAGATTCTGATCACCCATTGTTCCTAAATGCCTTTGTTGAGTTTTCACCACTATGGGTAGATAGGTAATACCCCTTGGCACTTGCTCAGTGAGTTGAGTGAAATGGATCCAGAAGCCCCAAAGCTGCCACATTCCAGGTATGGAGTATTTAAGGCTGTAATTATATAATTGTAATTATAACCTTCAAAGGGATATAAAAATAGTACTGAAATAATTCTATGTTAAGTTGATGCGAATTATTGTGACCTAGGTTTTAATTATGGTGCTTAATGGTGGTATTGCTAGGTTCCTGTTTTGCTTCATTGCTGTGGAAGTGGAAGTGGTTTTCTGAGAAGGGTAAGAATTAACACTTTTTAGATAGTGCTCAGAATTAAGAAAAAAGTTACTCGGTGCATAGTAAGGATTGTAATGATTATAAATACAGAGCATTATCAGTATCAAGTTCATTCCTACTCTGCTGAAAGGCCATGTTAAATCTTTATCATAAATACTTCAATGTTGTAATCATGGTTGTATCTAAACATCATCTTCCTCTGTGGTAGTTTTAACAAAGGTGATAGTTTCATATTTGATAAGTTGCTTAAGCATAGCCTTTTTTGTGGAGACAGAATTATTGAGTCTTTGAATTTTTAAAAAGGGTTAAAGTCAAGGATAACCAGTTTGGCTCTCTGCCAAATTAGGCTTTGGGCTTACTGACAGCTCTTGATGTACTGATTGTGTAAGAGATGTATCCGTTATTTCATAACACTCTTAAAACCTCTTTGCCTAGTGCCCTTTCCATTGATTCTATCACTGTTTCTGCCCTTTCACATCTGAAATTTCAGTACTGATATTTCTAGCCCATAAAATAGTACCTGGGTAGCTATTCTCATGTGATTAGTTTGACTTGACAAAATTCCTTTTTATTTTCATCTTTCAGAATCTAGGTCATTTATGTTTATTAATATAGCTAGCCTTTTAATGAGAACATGAATTGTGTGTTCCCATTTTGCTTCAAGAGCTGCAGATACATTCATGGTGCTCACATACTTCAGTGTCTCTGTTTTCTCAAAATGATTTAGTTCTGCATCCAGTTGAAATCTCACCCCCTCAAGAGCTAGTCATTCTATCAGCATTAGAAAGTATTTTTAAAAAGTAATGAATACAGTACTGCACCTATTCCTAATAGTTTTAGTGAGCCAGGAAGAATGCCAGGAAATAGTTATTATTAGAAAAGCCATGCGATATCATCTTCACAAAAGATAACAAGGGAGCTTGAATTGGGAAGGCTTGACAGTGTGACTGACAGAAGTGGGAGATGGGAAAGGAGCAGATAAGAAGAGAATATTAACCAGTCTCTATCATTAGCCCATGCAAACTAACGAATCAGACAATAGTTCTCTTAAAATATAAACAACTCATTTATTGAAAACTTATGAAAAGCACAAACCAATATAGGATTGGATCACTGATACCTAAAAGAAAAAGACAAAAAAGTGGCTTGAAGTATTCATATTCAAATATAAGTTATCAATCAGAGACTATATTGCTATTTCCAAAATCAAAAGAGCAGAGTTTCCTTTGACTAATGATGTCAAAGGGGAGGAATTTCTTTAAATTCTGGGTAATCTATGAAACTGTTGTTTAACTAGATAATAACCTCAATATACTAGTGCACAAGGTTATGTTTAGTCTTGTAACTCACAGCATGGCTTTGTCTGATCGATAAGAAAATGAGTTCTAAAACTATATAAATACTGAAGTTGCTCTAATATGTGTTATTATGAAGAGCCTCTGAGATAAACAGTTGAAGTAAAACAATGGACACCTTAAGTTCCGATTCATGCTTTAAATGTAAGGGCACACATATCTACGTAAGCACATATTTACACCAGTGTGTGTGTGTGTGTGTGTGTGTGTGTGTGTGTGTGCATATACACACAGAAGTCACAGATGGATACAATTAAAAACTAGAGTGCTCGAGTCTGTAAAATGTGAAAACTTACTACTATACAGTCTTTAGTACTACTTGGATTTTTGTTTTACCAAGTGTATATATGTGTATATATTCCCTTTTAATTTAAAAATCTAGTAAAACTATTATGTCAGTGAGACCAGATATTGCTGCAAAAGGCAAAGTTGTTCTCTTTCTCTGAATACAAGATAAATTGTGTTTGAAACTTAAGGCAAGATGGTAAAATTACTATCAGATTGATGAAAACCTGCATTGCATTTTCACAAGATCTTTTTTTTCCTGATTGTAAATTCTAAATTTCTGTCCAAATATTTTAAAATTGGGCCCATGAAATAAAATAATTAATAAATGTCTTCTGTATTAGTTTCTTCTTTTTGAAAACGGAGTTTATTTATGTGTGTGTCTGTGTCTCTAAGATTGTATGCTGCATGCGTGCAGGTACCCTCACGTCAGAAGAGGACATCGGATCCCCTAGAGCCCGAGTTACAAGAGGTTATGAGAAGTCCAATGTGAACTGAACTCAGTTTCTCTGGAAGACAGCAAGTGTTCTTAACTGCTAAGCCATCTCCCCAGCCCCCGTAGTTTATCATATAATTATTTCTCGCATTGAGCTTCAATAAAATTCATAAAATAAGAGTTCACATTTACCAAGGTACTAATATGCTTTGGGCACTCTCTAGACACATGGATTACATGTGTATGTTTGTGAGTATGTGTGTGTGTGTGTGTGTGTGTGTGTGTGTGTGTTTGTCTGTGTGTACGCCATGCATATGCTTGCACAGAGGTCAGGGGTTAAACTTGGGTTGGAATTGTTTTTCAGGAACTGTCCACATTGGGTTTTTTTTTGTTTTTGTTTTTGTTTTGTTTTTTTTCGAGACAGGATCTCTCACTAGGATGTGGGCCTCACCAGTTAGGCAAGATTGGCTGGCCAGTAAGCCCCAGGGCTGCCTATAAATGCCAGCACACACAGGAATTAAAAGTATATGCCACTATACCCAGCTCTTTATGTGGATGTTGGGGATTGAACTGAGGTCTTCATATTTGCACAGCAAACACTTTGTTTACTGAACTATCTCCCCACACCTAGGTTATACATCCTTATTAAGTCTTCTCAACATTTCTATTTCTACTGGTAAAGAGTCCAAAAGGCAGAGTAGCTAAGTTAGTTGCTTGCCATAAAACTACCAGAAAGTGGGGAAGACAGAACCAACGCAGAACTTGGGGCCTATGTTCTTAGTAATGAGACTATAATATTGCATTCTGGGCCATGTCTACTAAGACCAGGTGATCTAATTGATATAAAGATTACCTTAGAAGAGAAATAATGGAATACATTCTTACTATGATTAATAAACAGCCTTATCTAAAATATATTTTTGATCAGAGCTAAGTAATGGTAACTCAGCATTGAACAATCTAGAAACTTCCTAGAAGACAGAACAGGCTCATTGAAACAAATTTTTAATTTTTAAAAACATTGTGAATAGGCTATGTATACATATTGTATAACATGAAAAAATGAGTTTCCCTCCCATCCTAAACCACTTGTCTCAGAAGCAACAAGTATGAATTTCTTTCTCCTCCTCCTATTCCCCTTCCTTCTCCTCCTCAATTTTTAAAAAATATTTAAAATTTTTATTTATTTTGGGGCTGGGGAAGTAGCTCATTTATTAAGAGCACTGACTGTTCTTGCAGAAGACCCAGGTTTGAATCTCAGTGCCCACATGGTGGCCAACAACCATCTGTAACTCCAGTTCCAGGGGAACAACGCCCTCTTCTGTCTTCCTAGGGTATGGCATGATATGGGCACTGACATACATGTAGTCAATACAAGCAAACACATAACATAAAAATAGAAATAAAATATTTAAAATCTCCATTTATTTTATGTGTTTTGCCTACATGTACATAAGTACACCTGTGCATGTAATGCCATAGAGGCCAGAAGAGGGAATCAGATTTCCTAGAACTGAAGTTGTTAGCCAACATACAGTGTTGGGAACTGAACTTGGGTGTTTTGCAAGAGCAGCCAGTGCTCTTAACCGCTGAGCCATCTCTCCAGGCCGTCCTCCTTATTCTTTTGACACAGGGGATTGAATTTAGGCAAGCAGTCTACCATTGTGCTATATGCCCATCCCTTTATATACTTGTGTGCATATGTACACATACATACATGTGTATATATACTTTTATCTTTGAGTTGTGATCTTACCAAGTTGGCCTTGAGCTCCTTTTGTAAGCCAGGCAGGCTTTTAGCCTTCTATTCTTCTGTGTCAGTCTCCCAAGTAACTGAGATTAGAGGTCTGAGCCACCAGGACTACCTACTAGTTTTTTATATATCTCAACAGATGTTTTTATATAGATGGATAAATACATATATTTTATTCCATTTTCAAAGCTGGAAGCATAATACGTGAATTTTTTTTGCATCTTGCTGTTCTCTTTAAAAATGTTTTTTCAAGATGTCTTCCTAATCAATAGCAAGAACCCTGTTTATTTTCCATTGACTTCATGTCTTACTATATAGCCCAGATTGACTTAAGCAATCCTCCTGCATCAGCTTTCTGAGTGCTGGTGTTATAGGTATGTGCTATTATGTCCAGTTAAAAACTAATAGTTTTTAATTGTAGAATAGTATATGAAAATGTCATGTTTTTTTTGCTTTGTTCATTACCATTTTGTGTTCAAATATTTTGCTATTGTAAATAGAAAACTGCATAATTTCTCACATTCATAGGACATATAATAAGTGAATTTTCTGAACCAAAGGTATGTACATTTTAAAGTATGAAAGCAGTAGCTTCCACTCAGTGTCAACAGAGTGTTATTCCATTCTTTTAGCCCCCATTATTCTGATAGATGAAGCTGGTATTTATGGACAGCTAACTGCATCTTTTTTTAAGAATAAGACACTTTTCTTTGCTTAGTTGCACTTTTGTCATCTCTGGTGAGCAAAGCTCATGAAACTTTGCTCCATGTTTTCTTCTAAGAGTTTGATAGTTTTAGCTTGTGAGCTTGTTTCTTTGGGCCATTTTGAGTTACCTTGTATATTTGGTGTGAGGTAGGAATCTACGCTCTTTCTTTGGCCTGTGGATATCTGGTTGTTCTTCAACTATTTGCTGCAGACGGTATTCTTCCTCTATTAAATGGTCTTGGCATTCTTGTTGAAAATCATTTTGTCATGAAATGCTTATTTTTTAATGCTTAATTGTATAGCATTGATCTAGATGTTTCTCTGTATGCCAGTATATACTTTGCAACTTTGTATTGTTTTGTAATTTGAAGATATAAGTCCTCCAGGTTTGTTCTGTTTTTTTAAAAAAGAAAATGGCATTTTGGATCACCTTGAAATGCAACATGAATGATGATAAGGCTTTCCATATCTGCAAAGAAAGCAGTTGGAATTTTAATAGAAAATATTCAGTCTGCTGAGTAGACAATTGCCATCTTACTGATTCTTCCACAACTTGTATATTTTAACAGGTGAATTTTATGGTATATAAATTATATGCCCCAAAAAGCTATTTTTAAAATGAGACAAAAGGTAACCTACAAAAGCAACTATTATATGCAAGGAATTTTTTAAGGAAAACAGATTTAAGTGGCTGACAGGGTAAGAGAAGAGGAACTGCTACAGGAAGATGAAGGAAATGCAATAGAATAACAAGGCTGGCATATCATGGACAAAGTCAACCAGAACAAGAGTGAAAGTAGATCTCAGGAGAGGCAGGAGCAAGGACTTCCTTCTGAGCAACATATGAAAAGTAATGTGTATATACAATGAAGAGGAAAAAAGAGTGTTTATATTTGCTGGCCTATGATTTTTCTGGACCACGTAGAAGGCCAAGCAAGTCAGAGTGATGAATTTGATACTTCAGAATGATGTGGGCCCTGACAACTGAAGAGCATAAAACAAGAAGTTGGCTGGATGGAAGAGGCATCGGGTCTCAGCCTCGTCAAACCCAGCATTTGCAAAGCATTCAGTCATCAAGGTAGACATTTTTGTCTAGCAGCTCTAGCCTTCTGTGATACAGATGCAGAAAATAACTGATGAGTTAACTACCTGTATATGAACAGTAGAATGCGGGTTCCTATCGTTGCGATTTAAGTGCACAAATTTAGGGTATTAAAACACAAACACTATTGGGCTATGCTTATCACAAAGAAAATACTAAATTTAGTAAGATAATATAAAACATATCTTAGAAAAATTTCATTTTAGTTAAGATTTTTCTTAATTGGGGTCTCATACAGATGAACTTGCTGCCAGTTAACTATGGACTGTTAGGTGTGACCTGGCAATGAATCCTGGAATAATTTTGTGAAAGAAGGAATCCTTATCAGCAAATCCTTTATCTCCAGTGCGCAGATCATGACAGTCTTCTACTGACTTTGGAACTTTGTCTGCAAACAGCTTGAAGTGGCTTGGCATGGGCTGTGATTTCAAAGAGCACAGTAGGGTTGACCATGGCTGATAGGAAGTAGCTACAGGGCACAGTGGTGCCTCCAAAGCTGTGTTGTTGTTGTTGTTTTTGTTGTTGTTGTCATTTTGAGACAGGTTCTCCCTGTAGCCCCAGCTGGCCTGAAACTCACTATGTAGACTGATTTCGCGGAGATCCACCTGTCTCTGGCTCGTGAGTGTTGTGATCAAAGGCGTGCACCACCACACATAGCACATTTTACAGTTTTAAACACTATTAATGGCTAGGGGCATAGTTCGATGACAGAGCGCTTGGCTACTATGGGCCAGGCCTTCATTTAATTTCTAGCACCAAAGCAAGACCTCGGGTGAGGAAGAATGAAGACAGCATTTATGTTACACTTTTCAGAGAGTTGCTATCATATTATGATAAACAAAGGCAAGATTTGGATGATGACCGGAGAGTGATATGGGCTGAACGGACATAAGGATATTCTTTTCCGAACAAACATCAAGGCAATGTGGCAAACACATCACAGATGTAAAAGAGAAAGGGACAATTTTAGAGGTGCAGTTAATGAGAAACTAGATGGAAACAAACCCACATGCAAATGAATGGACTGCCTCTGGATGGGGACTATGACTATCCACCCCTACATAGGAGGAAATTCAGATACAGGTAGATTTATCTTGGGCTACACACAGAGGTAATCTGTTGACTGTTAATCTTCTTGATTACTCATGTGTGCATGTGTGCGTGCATGTGTGTCTGTGTGTTTGTGTATGATGTGTCTGTGTGGGCCCACTGGCCACAGGGCACTGTAGTTCAGAAGACAAATTTGCAGAGTCATTTATCTCTTTCTACCTTTATGGTGGGTTTCTGAGATCTAACTCAGGTCGTCAGGCTTGCATTGTTAGGTAGCAAGTGCCTTTAACCATGGAGCCATCTCATCAGCCCCCAACTGCTTCTAATTGTTTCAGGGAGATGAGATGGGAGGTAAAAAGAAATCAGGTAAATGTAGTGATCAGAAAATGTAGACCATGCATTTGCATTAGACAGCCAGTGAATCTTCTGAAGGCCATTTTAGCCATCAGGGAAGACAAAAGTAAGTTAAATAAAATGACACAGAATAGAAGAAACACTGAAACACTGATATGCAGGAGTCATTTATTCCTTAAAGATAATTGTTGTTAGACAGTCTTGATCAAGCCTCTTCTAACACGGGAGTGGGAGTGTCAGGGTCCAAATAAGCAAACTGAAGTGCCTGCTTAACGAGGGGAGACAAAAGACACAGCCTTCTACAGAAATAATCTGGTTAGGCATCGGTGGTCTACACCATAATCCTAGCAACTGGGAGGAAGGGGGAGATTTGAAAGTTTGAGGCTAGCCTGGGCTACAAAATGAGACAATGCCATAGACACAAACAAATCCAATCCACATATATTCCTAAAGTATCAGTGTCTCAGGGATTCTCCTAAGAGAGTATGGTCCTAGAAATGCCAGCCATCGTGACCATAATAACCACAACTAATAGGAGGCTGCTACTCGGCACCTTCCATATCCACTTTTGGACAGTGTTTCACAGAGCTTGAGAAACTGAATTTTGATGGTGTTGGAAGGACTACTGTCCGTTCCCCAAGGGCTGCTGTTCTTATTACCTAACCTCTCTGTCTGGATCTAACAGACTGGTCCTCAAGATGCAGACATACATTCATCTCACGCCTCTCAGAGTGAAAAAGATCATTCTGGGTTAAGATGCTCCTGTGCCACAGAGCAAGGGCTTTAGAAGACAGGATACAGGGAACAAACTGCCCACCAAAGGTATCTTGAAGCTCCCTGGTCTGGAACATTTGGAGTTGGCTGAGCAACGGACAACAGGAAAGGTGGGAAGTCGTGGGGGAGGGGTGTTCCATGTGGCCCTGTTGAGGAAACTGGAGATTTTATGTCCTCTCTCAATGGACAGTCCTGCATGATAGACTGTGCAGTCCTTCCTTCCACATCCCTCCACCTTGTCAAAAGGCCTTTAGTGATGGAGCACTGGAGCTGGGTTTGAAAGAGGAAGTCACCAAGAATGGAAGCCATCTGAAAGATATCAGAGAGGTCAGAGACCCAGCCAGAAACCTAATCTCTCAGAGGTGGGAAGAAACCACCATTTATGCATCAGCATACAAGGGGTCGGGGGGAATACCTGGCTCTGAAGGTCAAGGAGAGCTGCTGGTGCTGCTGAACACATAGGCCCTATAGCATCAACTGATTCAGGAGGGTCACGGCAGAGATGGCCACAGTAAGACACTCTGCCTCTGGTTTCTCTTCTATGTAGGAACCCTGTGTGCCTTTTTCTGACGTCAGGGGAGTGGTTCAGATTTGGGCTCCCTAGATGAAGAATCTAAAGTTAGGGCTAGTGCCAAAATTTTTGCATGTCAGATTGGGGACCATGTTTCTCTTGGCAATAATTTTTCTCCTAAGCGCATTCTGTGACATGGGATCAGTATATTATTCTTCTTATGAAAAAGTCATCCCCAAGAGATTGCTAGGCAAGGGAAGTGAAGACCCAGGAGAAAAAGTGTCCTATATGTTGTTTATGCAGGGCCAGAAGCAGCTGGTTCACCTGAAGGTAAAGAGAGACTATTTTGTGAATGACTTTCCAGTCTATAGTTACCACAATGGCATGCCAAGGCAAGAAATGCCTTTCCTCGCACAGGACTGCCACTATGAAGGCTATATCGAAGGAGCGCCAGGCTCTTTTGTTTCTGTCAACATCTGCTCAGGTCTCCGGGGAATCCTGATTAAGGCGGAAACATCCTACAGCATTGAGCCCATGCTTTCCTCCAAAGGGTTTGAACATGTCCTGTACACCATGGCACGTCAACCTCGAGTTTCCTGCAGTGTAACTTCCAAGGACAGTCAGGAGGTCGCCAGCCAGCAGCAAAGGAGCAGGAAGCCTCTTGACCTACAGGTGCTGTCCTACTTGTGGTCACACACCAAATATGTGGAGATGTTTATTGTGGTCAACCACCAGAGGTTCCACATGTGGGGAAGTAACATGAGTGTGACGGTCCAGGCAGTAGTGGACATCATTGCTCTGGCCAACAGCTTCACTAGGGGAATAAATACAGTGGTGGTGCTGATGGGAATGGAAATTTGGACTGAGGGTGACCTGATTGAGGTCCCAGTGGACCTGCCCATTACGCTCAGGAATTTCAACCGCTGGAGAGAGGAGCAGCTCCTGAACCGGGCAAGGCATGATGTTGCCCACATGATCATTGGGCATCACCCTGGAGCGAACTCCGGTCAGGCATTTCTCAATGGCGCCTGTTCAAGCGGGTTTGCTGCGGCCGTCGAGTCCTTCCACCATGAAGATGTCCTCCTCTTTGCAGCGCTCATGGTCCATGAACTTGGACACAACCTGGGTATTCAGCATGACCTCCCGGCCTGCCTTTGTAAAGATAGGCACTTTTGCCTCATGCACGAGAATATCACTAAGGAAAGTGGCTTCAGCAACTGCAGCTCTGTCTACTTCCACCGTTTTCTCCAGGACCACAAAGGGGCCTGCCTATTTAACAAGCCCTGGAGCCAAAGCCACCAGAGCCGCAAGCGCAGAGAAGCCCAGTGTGGAAATGGTGTGGTGGAGGCAGGGGAGGAGTGTGATTGTGGCAGTGACTGTGAAAATAACAACTGCTGTGAAGAAAATTGTCATCTGAAGGAGACTGCACAGTGTAGCAATGAGCCTTGCTGTTCTCGATGCCAATTTAAAACAAAGGGACAAACTTGTCGTCATGCTAATGGAGAATGTGACCTCCCAGAATACTGTACTGGAACCTCTGCAACATGCCCGGAAAACAGGCTAGTGCAGGATGGCTCAAAATGTCATGGTTCTTTCCTTTGCTCTCATGGTCAATGCATGGACCCTAACTATCAGTGCTCTCTTCTTTTTGGGTATAGTTCAAGGGCAGCTCCAATTGAATGCTATAGCTCTCTGAATGGCAAAGGGAACCGGTTTGGAAATTGTGGCATTTCCTCTGAGTCTCCGAGAACATATGCAAAGTGTTCAGAAAATAATACACTGTGTGGGAAACTTATATGTACTGAAGCTACTTTCTTACCACCAATCAAAGACAAATATATATTGATCCAGGTCCCTCTTGATCTGGAATGGTGCTGGAGTATGGCTGCTTTGGACTTGACAGACAGCCCTGATGAAGGACATGTGCAGAATGGCACTTTCTGTGCTCCAGGAAAAGCTTGTGAGAAGTACTTTTGTGAAGACATTGTTGTATTGGAATCTTCCTGTGATCCAGAACGATCATGTAGTGGGCATGGAATTTGCAATGATTTAGGGAACTGCCATTGTTTGCCTGGCTTTGCACCTCCTGACTGCAAAGACAAAGGAGATGGGGGCAGTGTGGACAGTGGTCCCCCTATAATGCCAAGTGTAAAACCTCCCGATGTAGATGCTGGTCAAAATGATAGCAAAGAAAGTACTGAAGAATTGGCAATAAAATTAAAATTGCTAGTAATTGCTATCGTTTTGTCACTAATAGTACTATTAATGGCTATCTGTGCTATGATTGTGCATAGTGAGTCACTGGAGCATTTAGAAGCTCTTCCAGAAGACAGAGAAAAGGTTCCAGAACAGGGCCTGGCAGAAAAGGAAGAGGAGAAAGAAGAGGAGGAGGAAGAAGAGGAGGAAGGAGAGGATTAAGTAGGGAAGCATGAAGCAGATACGTGAACCTCCTCAAACACTGAGAACGAGAGGCTCAGTGAAGCAAAGGTTAAGGGGACTCAACAGCTGCAACAGCTGCCTGGGACTCCACAGCCTAGAAATATACTACGAGGAAGGATTCCTACTTTATCATTCGTTTTTAGTAAATGAGTGTTTATGTATTAAATGTTTAGCACATGTTTAAAAAGATTTCTCTTTAAAAAGTTTTTTGAAATTCAGTGTCTCGTTCCCTCAATTTTACTTCGAGACAATCTCAGTAAGTAGGCCTGGTGAGCCTTGAACTTTCAGTCTTCCTGCCTCAGCCTCTGGAGTAGCTGGGATTACAGGCCTGGGCCACCAAACCTAGCTTGCTTGCTGAGATTCAAAAGAACTCACAAGCGGTACTGAGCTGGGTGAGTAATGATTACTGTTGAAATGCAATAGTCATTCTCAGACATAACCAGGAATAACTTATCCTGTTCTTAGGATAAGAAAGTTCCACTACAGTGGGTGGTTTACAAACAACATAAATTTATTTCTCAGCGTTGTGGAGTTTAGAAGTACCAATTTAGGGTACTAAGCAAGGCCAGATTCAGTGGAAAGTACTCTCTTCAAGGTTATAGACTATATATCTTTGTCTTGGATCTTCAGGTGGCAGGTAGGTCAGAGAGCTCGTTGGGGACACATTTAAGAGGGTACAAATCCCATTCACGAGGACGTCATCTTCAGGACTTAATTACCTCCATACACCATCATATTGGAAATTGGGATTTTAATATTTGAGAGGGTGGGTCACAAACATTCTGACCATTATATCACCCAAACCAGTAGGGCCTTAGGAGATACAGAAGGGAGCTGAAGTAGATTTTTGAAAGTGATAAACACTTCTGAATACATGGGTACTTACTGAGAATGCAATTTCCTCAGTCTCTTCATAAACACTGTAAATTAGACCCTGGGGATGCCGCCCACACATTATATATATATATATATATAATTTTGGTCTTTTTGAGACGGGGTCTCCCTGTAGCCCCAGCTGGCCTGGAACTCACTATGGTAGACCAGGCTGGCCTTGAACTCACAGAGATCCGCCTGCCTCTGCCTCCCAAGTGCTGGGACTAAAGGCCTAAGCCACCATGCCCGGCCACATTCTATATTTTTAACCAGGTATAATGTTGATGCCGATGTTAGGATCCTGAAATTTATCCAATCAAGTAACAATTTAAACCGAAAAGAAAATGGTGAGGACATGGAAAAAAGATGAGCCAACTGCTGAAAATAAATAATAAATAAACAAACAAATGACCAGAAGGTAGGCAGCCCAGAAGGGATAATCTTAAGAACTTTAGAAACTGGGCAAAGTAAGTTCTCCATTTTCTGGATTCCATTATTTAGAATGGTTAACTTTTCAACTTCCTAAGTCATTCATGCATTTTCCTCAAATATATTTACATTGGTGAGTTCCAAGAAAGTGGGACTGTTTAATGCATGTGAAAACTACTAACAGCTATAAATAGAAAACAGATGAAAAGACTAACCAGAGCTCACAGGAAACAAAACTGGCTAGTAAATATGTGTCAAAAGTCACCGCTCTTTCTCAAGTCCTTCTGAGGTTCTTTGCCCCTAAAAGGCTGATCTGTTCCTTAAAGCCTTTCGTTGCTTTGCCATACAGGATTGGATTCGTGGAAAGTCAAGTCTAGCATCAGTTCCTGAAACCACGAGAAAGTTGGCTATGGCCCTATTTTAAAAATGACTTCGGTCTTAACATTAAAAACTCCCTCCGTTAAGAAAAGTAAAAAGTGGGCTGGACGTGGTGGTGCACGCCTTTAGTCCCAGCACTCTGGAGGCAGAGGCAGGCGGATCTCTGTGAAGGCCAGCCTGGTCTACATAGGGAGTTCCTGGTCAGGTGGGAGCCCCTGTCTCAAAAAGGCCCCCCCCCCAAAAAAAAAGTAAAAAGTAAACTGAAAGTTTTGTATGGCCTAGACTCTTTTCTTTCACCCCACCCCCACTCCCACCCACTTTTTAACACTTGGCAAAAGTCTTCTAGCTTTAGCACTCCTAAGTGCTACAGCCCGGCTAGTCAGCTTTAGACCCCAGCTTGCCCAGAGTAGGAGGCTTGAGGGTCCGCTCCTTTTCCCAGCCTAGCCAGAAAGTCCGGATGGGTCCGGATGGGGTTGGGAAGGACAGGGCGGGACAGGCCCGCTCCACTGCGGCGGGGCGGGTGGGGGAGGGCGGACAGAACCGGTTAACGTCACTTTAAAGACCACGGGATTTCTAACCCTGGGTCCGTTCCAAAAAGAGAAGAAGCACTTAATAAAGTTCAGTCATGACGGAGTCAGGGCGTGGAAGCCACCAAGAGAACTTTTCAGAAACTTTATTAGCCCAGAGCTCCCCTGAGGCGCAGAGCCGATGGTCCCGCCCCGCCCAAGCAGGCCGCTCAGCGCCCGCAGCGGTGAGGCGTGGAGCCGCCGCCGGGGTCGGCTCTGTTGGGGAGCGGGCGGCCGGGGTCTCGGGAGGTGGCTCCGGGGTCTGGGGAGGTGGCTCCGGCGCCGGGGACCGTGGCGGCCGGCGGCGGCATGGACTACCTGACCACGTTCACCGGGAAGAGCGGGCGGCTGCTGCGGGGTACGGCCAGCCGTCTGTGGGGGCTCGGCGGCGCCGGCGAAGCCCGGCAGGTGCACTTCGAGGACTACCTGAGGGAGCCGGCCCCGGGCGACTCCGGCTGCGGGCCCCAGAGCCAGCGGCCGCCCGCGCCGTCCAGCCCCGAGGGACCCGGTGAGCACGCCGTTCCTTCGCCTCCCTCCCTCCCGTCGGGGACAGGGAGGCGGCGCCTCGCAGAGGGGCGCGGGCAGGTGTGCGGGCCTGGACGGGAGTGCGGGGTTGGGGACGGGGTGCGGGGTTGGGGACCGGGGTGCTGGGTTGGGGACCAGGGTGCGAGGCTGGGGATGGGAGTGCGAGCCGGGTTCGAGTGTGCGGGCCCGGACGGCAGTGCGGGGTTGGGGACGAGGGTGCGGGATTGGGGACTGGGGTACGGGCCGGGGCCTTGGAGGCGGGGCCGGGTTTGAGTGCGAGGGCCCTGGACCCGAGTGCGGCGCCTGGGAGACGGGGCGAGGGCGGGGAGTGTGGGCGGGACTGGGTTTTCGGGGCCCGGAAGGGAGTATATGGCCAGGGCAGGTGTGCGGGGAGGGGTGGCGGGTAGCCCAGCTGGTGTGCGGGGCAGATGTGCCGAGCTACGGGCAGCTTTCCTCCCAGCTGCGCAGTGGCTTTTCCTGCTTTCCTCTGCTGTCGCCCACGCCTCCAGTTCAGGTCTCCGGGGTCTTTGCTCCCTTGGAGCAGTTGTGACGTCCTTGGGCTTAGACTTCCAGAATGCGGCGTCTACTTTGCTTCTCTTAGGGTCACTCTTTTCATCTGAAGTTGGCCACCTGTGGGGACTCAACTTAAAAAAAACAGTTGGAATTTACGAGCACGGCTGCTCTTGCAGAGGACAGACGTTTGGTTCCCAGCACAAATAAAAGTTAAAAAAAAAAAACCAAAAAACAGTTGGAACCTGGACATGGACATCGCTTCCCCTACCTGCTTGCTGTGGTTTCGGAAGGCCTGTTTGCTGCAGGAGGCGGAGCCTACAAACTTTTCTCTGTTTGCATTGAGCTTTGTGTTACTTTTCTTTTATCATAATGGCTTTGAACTGCTCTTTAAAAACAATTAGATCATGATAGTGATACCTAACAGCAGTGTAAAGTGATGTTAGAGATATTTTAGTGTAATGTGTATGGTAACTTTTCCACTGTTTCCTACGGTCGTTTATAATATGTATTTGGGGATTATGGGGGAAAATATATGAACATTTAAGAGTTTCAAAAATAGAGTACAAAATTTGTAAAATGTATTCCTAACCCCACACTACCATTCATTTGGAAGCAGTGAAGTCTTTGTGTGTACATATGTAGCTTACTCTTGGAAGAAAATGGACCATTACAATTTTACTTCAGTGTGACTCTTTAGAATACTTCCCCTCTCCCTCACTACCTGCTTTGAATTATATAGAAATAGAATTCCCATTTTCTTATTTTCATAATTAGAAAACAAAAAAACAAGGAAGTAATTTTGAGAGTTATTGAGTGGATTCGGAATGCCATTAAATTTGACACCAGGGATGAGGACTGGTACTTGATAATACTGGAGTGAAAATTTCAAAAATGAAATTTCCATTTCCTAATTGAAACCAGTTAATATTTGACAAGCCTCTAGATAGAAAATTCTGAAACATGTGAAATCATTTAAGCAGGAAGGAATAGAATTGGTATCTTAATAGATAAGCCCAAACATACACAGCCAGATTTTTCTATATAAGCATACGCTGAGCACAGGGCTATGTGTGACACTTTTCTAAAGAGTTGCCACTTCTAAGCTGTACAAACTCTTCTGTTGAAACTGCCTTGGGGACTACTGTGCATTCTTTTTACTATTCCAGTTGCCCCAAATCTCAAAGGTAGAGCCTTACGATGTCATAGAGGTATGACCACAGTAAGTGGGTGGGCTCATCCTACCCATAACTTCCTGATCAAATTTGAACAAGTTACTTATCTCTTTGGGCCTACATTTCCTTGTTTGTAAATGAGGTTGGAATAAACTCAGTGGTTCTTAGTTCTAGAACTGCATCATATAGAACAGAGCTAGTGAAAATGGTGGGTGGGAAGGCTAGGAAATAACTAGTAGTAAAAGCACAGCATGTCTGTGAAGTTATGACACAATGAGTGATGAAGACAGTTCAAGAAATAAGTGTCCCACCAAATTTTGATTATTTTCTGCAGTAGTTAAAATAAGCAAAGTAAGCATAGCATCCCAAGTTTTCCTGATTTTGAGAGGCAAACTGTATATGTGGTTCTTTTAAGGTTTCTAAACCAGTCTTTGCTTATAATGAGAATTTTCCTTATGGCAGCCGTCCAGTTGGGTTTGGGCTCTAGAGTTTCTTGCAGTTCTGTCCTTTAGAGTGAATGTATCTGAATATCTGTCAACCTGTTTGAAGGATTTCTGCTGCCCGTTCAGGTTTTGTTTTGTTTTGTTCTAACAGCTGCTTATGTTTTCAGCTGTCTGTCTTCCTGACTGTCTTACCAACGTTTCCTGTGACAAGCACTTCTTGCTTGTAGTGTCTCATTCTGGAAGCTATGTGTTGTTGGAGATCTTGTTCTTTCTTTCATTTCTTTAATAATGTTGATAGAAATTGTTTCACATTGGCAGTTTATCAATAGACTAGAGAAAGTTTTGGTCACATGCTTTAATTTTACCCTTTCTGCAAACAAGCCACTTACTGGGCAGCTTGCTGCTTTTTCCCCTCTGGAAGTGGCTCCTTTCACTTTTGCCAGCTTTTGGTCTTTGCTGGCTTCCTAATTGTAGTCCCCTCAGGAAAATCGTAACTGAGATTTAACACTATAAGGAGATTATCACACAGTTGCCCTGTAGTTAATGACAGCTCCAAAAGAAATACATGATCCTACTTAACAGTTGGTTTTTTAAAAAATATTTTATTATTTTTACTCTATGTGTATGCGTATATTGCCTGCATGTAGGTAAGTGCACCCGTGTCGTGCAATGCCCGCGGAGGTCAAAAGAGGCCGTCAGATCCCCTGGAACTGGAGTTACAGACAGTTGTTAGCTACCATGTGGGTGCTGGGATTCAAACCCAGGTCTTCTGCAAGAACAGTCAGTGTTCTAAATCACTGAGCCATCTTTCCAGCCCCAAGATTTGATTTTTAAAAAATACCTTAATTACTGTTTTTTGGAGTTGGGACCATAGCCTACATGGTTATAGACCTTAAGAATATTTACTGAATCGTATTGTAGTAAGTAAATATCAGTGGATTTGACTGGTTTAGAATTTGAAATTATTTTAATATAATCATGAAAACATGTTTTTGTCAGAACTGTTGTTTTAAAAACTGTTTTAATTGAGTTTTGTGCATTTCATATAATAGATCTTAATCAAATTAGGTTCCCCCTCTCCCATCTGCCCTTCCCCAAAGCTCCCCCCACCAGATTTCATGCTTTCTGTCACCTTAGTGCAAGTTCATCCACTAGAGTCCAGTCAGTCTATCCAGAGTCTTTCCCTCAAAGAAGATCAAATCCCCCTATAGCAGTAATCAGCTGCCAATAGCTAGGGTTGGGGCCTGCTGCACATTTCCCTCATTCTATGCTGGGTTTTTGTTTATTTGAGTTGTCATGAGTCTTGTGCATGCTGTCACCATTGTTGTAAGTTTATATGAGCAAGTTCCCAGTAGCCTGAAAGCCTCTGTTTCCTTCTGTTAGTGCACAAACCTCAAGTCCTGGGTGAGGTCAATATAGGAGTCCTATCCAGGGACACACTGGTTTGAGCTATGTTATGTCAGCTGTATTTTCCCAGTTGATGACAAGAGCCCTTTAAGTACCAGCATTTAATTTTCATTTACCCTTTGATAGCTAAAAAATTATCCAAGTAATTTACGTCTCCTTATTTTAAAATTTCAATCTCAAAGTAGAGATGTAGCTCAGTGGTAAAGTATGTAACTAGTAAACCCAAGGCCCTGAGCTCCATCGCTAACCATACAGAACAAACAAATCAGCCTCAGATTTACTTTGCAGCTCCCATCCTTCTTCTTACCCTAATTCCTATGCCAGTTTAAATTTGGAGTGGAAGAGGTGTGTGGTTTACCTCTCAATCTTCACTGACTCATCTCTAACACATAACTCCTCTGTTGAGGGTGTGTGAGAAGACATGGATGCAAGCTCATGGTTCCATCTTGTTTTTTTCCTTCACTCTGGGGCAGGAAGGTGACAGATAGTAGAGGGGAGCAGTCGGTGGTGAAAGTATTGATTGAGCCAATTGGCTAAAACGGCCACCCTCGCTCATACAAGTGCTAACCACAGTAGCCCGCAGGTCTGCCAGCTTCCATAGTCAGCCTTAAGTGTCTTTAATACTGGTAAGACTTCAGCTGCAAATTGTTGAACTGGACATTAAGCCATTCTGCTTTGTGACATAAGTTAGCATTACATGTATGTGTACAGTTTATGCAGTTTATGAACAATGAAATAAAATGGGATCAAAAGTTTTTAACCATAAATTATTTTTTGTGTCATCACTGTTTAATATTACTTAAACTGAGTCATTGTCTTCATTGGTTTTGTTTTTGTTTTAATTAGTTTCTTTTTTTTAACCTGGGTAATTTGGTTTGTCTCTCTACTTGTTGAAATAGTCATTGAATTTTGTATTTGAATGTTTAGCTGAATTAGAAAGGTTCACAAAGCTATTAGGTTCCTTAATTTAGGAACAAAACAAAAAGTTGCATTGGACTAAGATTTGAACTACAAGGTCATTGAAATAAATCCTATGATTCGTTCTGTTTTGTTTTTCCGCTGACAAAATCCTATATGCTGAATGAAAACTCTAAGATTGATATTAGTGTTACTGGTTCACTTTCAAAACCATTAGAATATATGGAGGAAAAAAGGAAGGAAGGAAGGAAGGAAGGAAGGAAGGAAGGAAGGAAGGAAGGAAGGAAGGAAGGAAAAAATGCTACCAGTCCCAGCCAACATTCTTTTTGGCTGCTCTTGCATTTTAAGGCCATTATTAAATCAAACAAGGTTTACTTGAACACAGTAACTACAGTACTGTATTAGCTGATCTGGTTATCTAGATGCCACCCAGTGACTCTTGGGTGAGTAGTACATATGTGGTAGATACACTGAACAATGAGAATACATTTGGGGCAGGGTGGTGACATGAATATCTTCATGCTTCCTAA